CGGGCCCCACTCTGGTTTTACTTCCCATGGGGGAGGAGGAGCTGGGCTCCATGCTCTGCTCCCCTCTAGGCCCAGACCAGCTGCCTCCCACTGGTGGCAGTCAGGGCTCAGGTGCTGCTGTGGGGGCCAGGGGGCTGTGGACCTGGATCCCTGGCCTGTAGGCCTGGCAGCCTAAGTCTCCCTCTGACAGGGCTGGGGCCATGGGTGAGAAGCGAGGAACACCAGCAGGACCATGGGGCTGTGGGTGGGGAGTGAGGAGCACTGGCAGGATTGAGGGGCTGAGAGTGGGGAGTGAGGGGCACTGGCATGGCCAGGAAGCTGGGAGTGGGGAATAAGGGGCACCTGCAGAGAGCTGTGGTTTGGAGGTGAGGGGCCTGGACCTGGACCCTGGTGAGCAAAGGGGGCAGGGGGAACTCTGATTTTCTGTGGTAAAAAGTCCAAAATCAAATACCAAAATTTACAGGTATTTAGAATGTAATTATACTGATTGTGGCACTGGTAGGTTTCCAAGCTGCTTTAAAATTGTAAATATATCAATAAAAACTGTGTTATATCTATCTATCTATCTATCTAATGTAGTGTTTCATTTTAATCACAGATTTTTAGGTTTTTAATCAGAGAACCTGCAATTTTTAAACAGAAAAAAAACAGAATCCCCGGTGATAATATATGTGTCTCCCTAAGAGGTACACTTGCCAATAATACATCAATATTTTTTACATGTCTGCCTGTTATAGTGTCTCTAGTACTTTGCTATGATATACAGGATTGCATAGATTTAAAAAAATTAGTTATCAGTATGCCTAAAATGCTTTTCATAACCCAAACTTCCATGTTTCTTGACTTTAAACCATTCCTTACAACACACTTCTTTCATGAGATGCACAGTATCTTTCAAAGTAAGGAGAGAAAAAAAAAGGGAAGGGGGATGATACTCAGCATGTCACCGTGTAGATATTACTAACTAAAGCAAACAAATTATCTTATTGCTGTAACCCTTGTACTCTTCTCTTCTGTTCTGTACAGGATGTATTAGCATTTCTAAGTTAAGAATCACGTCCACAAATATTTATGCACAGGCTTAATGTTAAGAGCTAATTATTTTTATTAGTTCATCAGTTGTGTATTGTTTTATTTTTCTGTAAAATACTACACAAGCCTTTTAACCATCCTACACCTTGAGGTGAAAGACTATGTATATTTACATGGAGGTTGTGTACTATACACTATTTTGACCGCAATTCCTGATGGCAGCTAGTAGTCTGACTTTAACTCATATTCTGCAGATAATTACTATCTCTTTCATGTTTGAACAACAAAGCACAAACAACTAGAAAGGCCTAAAGATTATATATTTAAGGTCCATTTTCTTGATCTTTACAAAAATGTCTTACTTTTCCTACTGTGGAAATATTCTTTAAAGCCACATAATCTGAGCTGGGTTTTCAAGACAGCTTAACTTCTGTATGAATGTAAGAAAGTTGTTCGATTATTTTGGAAAAAAGTAGGAAGGGCCTTCATTAGATGGCCCCAAATATCATAGGACAGGGTGGATGATCTCATCCAGCGCTGTTTATTCACAGAAGCAAGATGTCTTTAGCAGGTCTCAGCCAAGCTTAGCCATTTGCCTGGTCTCTTCCCTTAAGTGGTTACTAGTAATACTTATTCAGAAGACTGAAGATAAAATTATGAATGCAGTGTATTAATTGCATTAACTACCAACACGGCTTGCGAGTCTATTAAATCGAATCTGTGATTTTGTATAGTCACCTTAAACTCTCTCCATAATATTCCAATAATTTTGTATACTGACTAAACTATCAGAAATTTTAAAGGGTTGTTGGTTATATCTGTGTTGGTCTAAAGACATAGGCAGGCAAGGTTCTCTGGGTAGATATGATATCTTTTATTAAACCATATTTATATCATATACTATTTGTCTATTCCCCACCTATTTATTCCGCTTCTAGTCTTAACTTCTTATCTTTCCCATTCCTGTGACTTCCATATGTTGTTTCCCTTATTTATTAATAAAGGATGGGGGCAGGGGGGCTTAATAGATTAAAACACTTTCAAGTCTGCTCTCCAGTTCTGTGCATTATTTTCTTATATTTTAGTTATTTCTTCTTTCAAAATTCTTAAATCATTTTCTCTCCAATTTTTTCAAAAACTCTCTCCATGATCTTGTATGTAACATGCTGGATGAAGATTGATACATTAAGAATATATCACTGTCTCATAACAGTGACATACATAACAGTGGTGCTGAAGGGCAGAGAGAGAGAGAGAGATTATGTATTTGTAATCAATTTATTCAGAATTTGATCCCTACTAACATTTATGTAATTATCAAGCTACATTTATCCTTCCCAGTATCATACATGAAGTAGATGCAGCTATACTCTCATTCCTGGTATTTTCCATTTCAGATTCCTTAATATTTCCTATGATTTCTTTTAAAATTTCCCCAATTCATTTTGTGTTTCATATGTCTCTGCCCCTTTATGCAATATCTGTTACATGTACCCGTCTGTGAGGTACGTTTTTAGATGCCGACCCCATGGTAGGGCTTTGAGTTTCTTGAAAAAACTTGACAGTTCTCGACTTTGACTCTAGCCCACATCAGAAAACCTAAGTGAAGTTACAGACTGCAGAGCCTCATTAGATCTAGAAATCGCAACTGCTGAGGTTTCAGTCAATTGAGAGTCTTCAGTTTGAGAAAGATCTATTATATACTGCAAGTAACTGCCAACAAGGCAGGCTGTACTGGTAAATTGAAGGGTTAAAGAATGCAATATTTGGATTGCAAGCTGTAGTATCTTGAAGAGGTATGCTCATGCAATTATTTGTTCTATAGAACATTTTACAACTGGAAAATGATTTGGTACTGCAAAGTGTCAGGGTATGAGCAATTTCTCAGAATAGTGAAATTAGATCACATGGCAATGAGCCAGCAACCCCAGAGTTCTCACTATAGAGATACTTCTGGGGCATATCAGAACATTTATGTCAGGAGTTATTGAGAATTGGTGCCTGCTCTTCATAGTTACAGCTCTGAAAGATGATTGCAGAGAACCAATCATGTCTGCTAGTTTAGCCATTGTGTTCACCTGATGCTTCTTGGAAAAAAAGTTGGACAGCTCTCTAGTAATAGACTCAGAACTTACTCAGCCTTCAGGTATACCCATTATATAGAGATCCCCTGCTGTTTAGGTGCATAAGTAACATCAAGGTATTTGCCTTCTCAATCCATTTTCTTTGCTCTAAAGGAGAGATTCCTGCAGGGCTCACAGGAATAGCAAAAATGTGAAGACATCAGATATCCAAGGCATTGTCCGTCTTTCAGCAATACTGTAGTAGACTAGAATATGTGCTTCCTAGAGCCTTTTCTGGACATACAAATGCCACTCTTGAACATGTAAAGTGCAGCTATATTCACTGCATCAAGGTCAAACATATTTGGGAATGTGGTAAGTACAAACAGCATTTCAAAATATTTGTGGAACTCTGTCTTTTTGACAGAAAATACCATCCACTCTATGTAAAAAAGAGAGAAGGACCTTTTATATACAACATTAATTTATTTTGAACTATCTACCTGTCTGTTTCTGTCATCTGTTCTAATTTCTGTCTTCAGTTTCTAAAATTCAAGATCAATAAGGAGAAATTCAATTGAAGACTATTTGCATTTTTTTCTTT